GGGGGGGGGGGGGGTCGATACGTCACGAATTTTCCTTACCCGCTTAGATAATGTAAAAATAAATACAGTTATGTTAATACTGTCGCCCGAACAGCAAACATATCAGTACTGTTTTGCTGCCTGTATTCTATCACAACAATAAATGCTTCAATCTGGTGCAAGGAAATATACTTCAAAGGCTTCTCTGTACTTCTCATTTTATAGTTGCGATATGAAAGGAGAGGAAAAAATAATTTGCTCGGTTCAATAATTGGTTGGTTTTGGTGGCGATGGCGGGAGTCACCCTGTGTTGCTTGAGCAGGAACACCTTGACGACCGAGCGGCGCGATAAATTGAAAAAATACTGAGATACATACTTGAGCGTTGTTGCATGCTTTGTACCTTAAACCGCCATAACCGCTTCAATAACTTATTCACAACAAGAGACCACTACAATTTTCCCGTACTGATACCTTTACAACAACCACGTAACAAACCATTTCAACCGTTTCAACCATTGCATTACTCCCAACCAATTCCAAAATCACTGATTCCCTGTGCATGCCTTCTGATAGTTTTTGATGACTTACAAAGGTACAATCCGCACAAACTCCTCGGTCCACGGATTTACAGCAGGCAGCTTGACATTCTTCGATCCCAGTGACTATCACACACACCACCAGAAGTAAAGCGACAAAAGACCCAGCCATCTTCTGAAATATCATGCAGGGCGCTCATTATTATTTTAGGGCGCAATGAGCGCACTCAGAACAGCGGACTAGCAGATCCGCGGATCAAATATGGCTGACCCACTTGAATGTTTGTTGCGTAACCCCCGCTGGGAATCTGTTCACTGTCTAATCGGGAATTAAGGGGCAATCTCCATATACAGAGCCGGTTGATCTGCGGACTAACCAGTCCACGGATCCAACATGAAGCGCCCCACTTAAAAGCGTGGCGAGATTTAATTGTCCTGCCCCGCGTGCAAGGCAGGAATCCATTGTCAAGTGGACGCCATATTTGATCAGCGGACTAGTAAGTCCGCGAATCAACGTAGTTGTGAATGCGGCCTTAGTAGTGAATATGATACTACGCAGCGGAAAATTGACGGAAAGCTGGATGTTTAACGACAGGTATAAAGTGCTGTCGCTGGGCTATGGACCCACTGGTGTTACAGATACATGTAGTTTGGGGGTTGACCAGACGCAGTTAGTTTGGGATTTTACAGATAGTAGACCTACAAAGTGTTAATTTACCCTAGTTGACACAACGCATACACATTGAACATACTACATGTAGTAACACCCAAGTCTTGTGGCGGTGATGCTTGTTGTGTAAGATAAGGTACCATCGGGTCTTTTGTGTATGTGGGGATCGGGGGTGTGAAATATCTTTTTGGGTTTTTCATTTGACATAGGGGAGACCGGGGCTAGTTGGACCCCGGGGTAAGTTGGCCCCCATCAAGTCTCTTTAATAAAGTTACTTTAAGATGCTAAATTATTTCATTTGGACTCACTGCCGACTTTCTTAGCACTATTGGATACGGTCACTTTACAAAATGATGCGATCTATTCTTTTACCCCATAGTTACTTTGTCATAAATTGATGGGGGGGGGGGGGGGGCAACTTACCCCGGGGTCCAATTAGCCCCGGTCTCCCCTACGTTTAAGAGCGAGGAAAAGATGCCGTCTGAGCGAGAGGACTGGGACGTACATGTACCCCGGTACTCCCCCCTCTGGTGCAGCCATTGTGGGTGACTTTTATCTGTTTGTACTAGCTCATGTCTTTCTACACTTTCTTGTTTCTCTTCAACCCCTTTTATCGACAGTGCTGTGTGCAAATAATAATAATAATAATTATCATTATTATTAAATTAATCACCACTAAAAATAAACCCAATTTAAGTTAGCCCATCTCTGACCTTTTCTGAAAATTTTATTAAAAATACGTCCACAACTTCTTGCATTACGCAGTACACAGACAACGAAAAAAAAAGCCTATAGGGGCTTAATAAGCGGGGGTAATGCATCTGGCGAGAGTTTGCCTTTGAAGTAGCTGTATCAGAGACTGCAGGTAAGACCGGTTTACAGCAGTGAGTCACGTAGCCCCGCAATGGAATATTAGTTCAGAATAAACATTTTACTTGAAAGAGAACTCTTGTTGCTGAACGTTTTTATTATTGTAATATGAGCTCATGGCTATAATGAGCTCATGGCGTTTCTGAGATATAGGGAATATTCATCATATTTTTCAAGTGCATCCAAAATATTATTTTTAAATGCGATTTCCACGTACTAGCCAATTCTAGATTTAAGAAACACCGCCTAAACAAGTGACTGATACGAGAAAGTTATACCAAAGAGAGTGGTGTCGTTTAGACAGGGTACATGTATTTCCAATTCTTTCGAAAATTGATAAAAATAGTTTTCGTCACATTAGTCAACACACAAGGCACCAAAAGCTTTAGACTGCATTCCCAGACATTTAAATCGATCCATCTGGATCGACCTAACTCCCTGGGGGTTCACGCTAAATTGCTGTTAGTCGAGCGCGCACCATAGTTAATTACCCCCTTACAGCTTTTAGTGGGCGGGACAAACATTTAAGCCTGTTAAGCTGACACCAATCTAGTGAGACACCCCAGGGGGATAGATCGATCTAAATATCTATGGGAATGGGTTTTTTTATACTGAATGTAAATGAAGCAGTTGGCAAATTTTTTCTACAGGTAGATGCTGATTATTTCACCATCAAACAAGCTACACAAATTTAAATGTTGATTAGTGAAAGACTTTGTAACTACCAGTAAATAGAAATGAGTTACGAAGCTCTTGCATACAAAAGCAGGATGATAAAACTCACTCAGCTAATCATCTTACTGCACTTATTGGCAATACTGTTCAGTTTTCCTTTGTCTCCCTGCCTTGCTCCACCAAACCATTGTAACAAACGTCAAAATACACTGTATCGTAGCTTTGTAATGGTTGATAAAATGCATGTACATGTACTTGGTTCTTTCGACCCCACGGCGTAATGACGGGCAGCGCGAGCCAGTTACTTCCAAAGCTGTAATTAATTCTCGGCGCTGCCAGTACTTACGCCGCGTATTTTGCCAGTATTCAGGGCACAGACCGTGATCACAAGATACCGCAAATAGATTTTTAGATTTTTAGAAAATAAATTTTTCTTGTGAACGCAGCCAAGATTGCTTACTCCGTGTAACAGACAGTCCGCCCTCCATTTAGTTATAATGGTTAGACTAAAGTTGGTCAAAATCTAGGACGATCGAGGCTTAGCTGTACAATTAATGGGAAGCGCACTCTTTATCATGGGGAGACTCTCTGCTACGTTACACCGGGTAATTTTCGAATGTTCAATCCCATGAAATGACATTGCATCTGCAAGTTATAAATAGTTAGTAGGGGTGCTTGAATGCCTGTCTGTTCTGTTCTCGGACGACTGTTATTGATCGTTTTGTTAAACCGCGAGTAATACTTTAAGTATAAAGCGAACTTTAAAACATATGGAAAGGTATGCTTTAGGAGCTGCAGTGTGTATCAAATGATCATAATAAGTATTGTAATAACGAAGTAGCAATTTTGAAATAACAGTCTTGCCTGACATTTACCGGTGATTTGAAATGAGCCTTCAGGCAATTGTATCTATGCACAACCTCAAGGAAACGAAAATACCCATTGATCGGAATAACTGATCGATTTATTTTGATAGATTTAAAAGATTGTGCATGGTTCTTAAGTAGTCCCTACTAGTATTTCTCAATATTCTCACGGCCACGAAAATTGTGCGGTTTAAACGTTTCGATAATTTAATCTGTATGGAAAATAGAATATTGTGCAAATTGCGTAGAATAAACCTATATGTACGCAGCAAAACATTTAAGTTAAACTTCAAAGCAATGAGACAATATAGACAATAATACAATCTTACCTGATAGCAGTGAGTAGGGTAGCGAGAAGTTCTGGGCCAGACCTTCAGCAAACGAAATATCCTATGATATGGAGAAGGTTTATAAGTACCCTATGTTGTATCTGCAAGCTTTGTGACTCACAGTTGAATGCTGGTACTCACAAAGTCTCTCATAATTCAACATAAAAGGCAGGCCTTTTTTGGAAAAAATTGTTTGATGATGCAATGCCCAACATTTACAAAAAATTACAAAGGCCTCTTTTATGTTCGTCTCTTTCACAGATGTTGGTGTTCAGTTGGAAGAGTTCTCTGGCTGCTTCATGAGGCTTGTTGTTGTTATTGCTATCATATTCTTATTATCAGAATGAGTCTCGGTAATACAGGGGGATCAATAGCAAAATGTGTTCCGTTCCTGAGAAGTTGATCACGGGTGACTTCATCCGTGTTATTTCATATATACAAGAACTTATCAGGGTTTTAAAACCATAACTGGTCACAAATAGTCGTATTAACTAGTGTCCTATTGTCTTTCACAGCTTTATTATTATTATTATTATTATTATTATTATTATTATTATTATTATTATTATCCAGAAACACAAACAAAATTGAAAAAACTTAGTGCACTACAGTATATATCTGTCAGCTTTGTCCCCGGTGTGCTGTAATTGCCTGCACAATCCCAGAAAAGCTCTTGCTGTTGATTTAAACTGCTTCATACTATGTCGTCTTACAGTGGAGAGTAAAGGGCCTTAAGGTGGGGCTGTACTCAAATAGGACTAAAATTCACGTTTTAATAGATAAAATCAACAGTAAGTCTCCGAACCCCTTTTGTTCAAGTGTTATTATATCATTTAAGGCATGTTTATAGCTGTCCAGGTGCCTGCGAAAATCAGGAAACCTAAATGTTTTCCCCAAAATTCTAATATTACGTCACACGATGAACTTGGAGCTGTGTTGCAAGCATAATTAGATGTTTCGAAGATACATTAGATGAATGCAACAAGAATAAAAAAGCTAAGACCCTTAATTTAAGATAAAATCTCCAACCTGCAGTCCTACCTTAAAGTCCCAACTAAGTTCACGTTTTAACTTTAGCCCCCCTCCTCTCCCAATAAAACCCTTAGTCACAAGCCTATGACAGAAACGAATAGTGCCATCATTAATATCGACTTGAATCTCGTGAAAACTTCTGTTTTGGCTCGGAGGCAAAATCATTTCAACAGTTGCCAGTGGCTTCGGCTTCCGGGGCAATTGTTTGTTTGACGGACGAAAATAAGCAACATTTACAAAACAAACCCATTAAACATTCATTGAATGCAAGCAACTTAAAGCATATGTCAGTTATTTGTAATACTCTTGTGTTGCATGATTAAGTCGTTAACAATGACTCCAAGAGCGCGAAACACTTTGGGTCTGAAATCTATCTGCATAATTCATTGCAATCAATCGGTTGTTTCGACCAGCGATACTTGAATGCTTACATAAGGTACCCAGGACGACAAGTTGGATCCAGAGTTTTTCGGGTCTAACTCGAATGGCTGACGTGAATTGAAACGGATCACATTCGGTTTATGAGCGTGATTCTCAAGTGATTCTTCATGCTACCCAACATTAAGCGAGTCTGAATTCTACATAGGCTGCCATTTATTGGGGACGCAATGCAGTTTTGCGAGGAACTGTGAATGTTTTTGGACTTAAATGTTTCTCTAAATGAAAGTAGAATTAAAATAATTCTTTTAAATATCGTTTTGTAACACCCAGAAAAAAACGCAGGAACAATGGATGTTCTGAAAATCCAACTTCTCTGTCCGATTTTGCTGTTTGTGGGTGGCTTGTCTGTTGTGAAAACACAAAGCAACATTGCGCTTCATTCAGGTACGTAGAAAATATCACACAGTATATAGGCTACACATAGGAAAACCAAACGCCGTGCTTTTAGTTTGGCGTTATGTCTTTGTATTCATTTGTTTATTCATTTGCTTATTTTCATTCCGTATTACTGGTGGTTTACTGAATAGTTAAGGAAAACCGCACGTAAACTGTACAAATTAGATAACACTTCAAACAGATTAATATAAAACATGTGGGTAAAGAATATGTTGTACAGGACAAAAATCGGGACCGGTGGAACAATGCAAATTCCATATGAACCAATTAAAAGTTTATAAAAACTAAGAAAACTACAGAAAATGAGAATGAGAATGAGAGGGAGGATGAGAAATAAGAAACGAATGTGCTGAAAATGAAATCAACAAAAATGTACAAGAAAGTGAAGATAAACACGGACAAAGATCAACCTTCTGCCTCGGCCAAAGCCGTGTAACAGAGAGTCCGCCCTCCATTTAGTTATAATGGATAGGGTTAACCTGACCTTAGTGGGTCAAAATCTAGGGCGAGACCTGTACAAATGAATGGGAATAGGTCTCTCTATCATGGGGGACTGTCTGTCACGTTACACCGGCCCCAAGGGAAGGGGCGTGCCTCAACCGTCTCACTCATACGCTCTCCTTCCTGAACAAGACAATATCGGCTCTTACTCCTATTTAAAATGTCAAAAACGGCAAAAATGGACACCTGAAGAAGCATTACAAATTGTCACCTATGTTAGTATATTTAAAAAAGAAATTTTAAGATAAAGAAAAATAATATTCTGGAGTAAGGATGTAGCACAAGTCGCTTTGCCAAATAATTTTTTCCAATGATAAAAAAAGGTAAATATCATTTATAATTATGTTAAAAATAGTAATCATTATCATAATATTATTAATAATATCAATTATTCTCATTAATAATAATCAATAATAAGTGTCAGTTATCAATAAATCAATCACCAATCAATCACTTATCAATATAAATTATTATTTACTCTTTTTTTTTAAGACGACCACAGGTCTGCATAAATCTGTTACTGCAATGTTAGTTCCATATATTTATAAGCAGTAAAAAATGCCAGGTAAAGGTGTTCTATAATAACCCCAATGATCTGAGATCAGAACTTTCTTTAATTACTTCCAGGATACGCTGTAATCTATCCCGGAAAACTGGTGGCGGGCTCTACCGACCACATTACTGGCTTTCCATTGGACGTCTGCCTGGATAGGTGCCTTTTGAACTCGGACTGTCGCGCAGTGGACTACGCCCATGACACCTCCACCTGCTATTTCCATGGCAACGTGACGGCCTGTGACGTCCTTGTATCTAACGCCAACTTCACTCATTACGGCAGGGAGCTGTGTGACCAACCGATCTCTGGTACGAATATTTTTTTTCGCTTATCGGTAAGAAACAGGACGTATTCTTGAAGCGAAAAACTTGTTGAAGCTGTTTTTGCTAGCGCCGTAGATGCCCTTCTTTCTAAGTGCTCTACTGTCAACTTTGCTTAAATAGTATTGTCTAAATGTCACGCCTAAACGCGTTTTTTACTTCAAATATTCCCGAATTTCGTACTTTGTTCGTTTTCAACAAAAAGCATAAGTCGCCACCCTCTGGTTTAGACTTCTCCGTCCACCAATATCAACCAATGAATATGCAAATTTTTTATCACTTCTTGGAGACGAAAACACAATTTGCTTTTTTTTTCATTAAAAATCCACCCCTATTTTCTATTTCTTAATAAGACGATTGGTCAGGTGTGATGATTTTCATAATACTTAGGTCTGAAAAAAAAAATCCATCGTCTGTATTATTTTGTTTGCTGGGTGATAATTAAAAGCATGCCTTTTTATTTCAAATTAATTTTGAGCCTCATGGACAAGATAAAAGTAGATCGTTAGGTACGTGCTCTAATACTGACTTGACGTGTAAATTTAGATCACAAGTTTAAGTGACCTGAATGGAATTCATATTCATAGTGACGTCATGTATATCATATTTATTGTGACGTCATAAAACGTTTTCATTTTAGCTTGCGGTGCTGTGATCCGAGCTCCATCTGGCGTGCTGTATTCCCCTGGCTATCCGCTCACTTATCCTGCCTCAATACACTGTACGTATACCCTTTTACCACCCGCGGGACACGCCAGGATGACCTTGACCTTTCAGCTGTTTGACCTTGAAGAGTGTCAGTCGTGCACCTGTGATAACGTCACGGTGAGTTGCTGCTACTTGTACTTCTTGTATGGCTGAAGATTAAGCAACTGACACCGTGTGATAGACATGATAGACACCAATTAAACACGCATTTCAGTAATATGCCATTCGTAGTATATTACAGTACATACGCGTATATCTCTTGTTCGTTTTTTATCATCTTCTGTTTTATTTTCTCTTCAATCTGTGTCGGATATTTGTGCAGTTAACTTCAAACAGATAAGTGTATTTCAATTTTCAATAAAATGAGCAATCTACAGATATGGAATCAAATTAGGCCTAGGTGAACTTAAATAACCTCGACCCGTCCTTTATTCAACTGACATCTTGTAATCACATTATCTTGTGTAGGTGAGAGAAACCACGCCGTTTGGTGAGATCTTCATGAACTCTGTGTGCGCGGAACACAGTTTACCCACCATGGAGTCGTCCACTTTCCAGCTGACCTTTGACACTGACCACGCCACCTCGGGAGCGGGATTTGTAGCACGATTTGCAGCCTCGACGGGCAGTAAGTTCGTAAATTATTATTAATAACGGCCCCAGTGAATTTTACAGTGGTTTCTACGTGTATAAATGGAAATACTTTTAAGTATACTTTTAAAAAACCAATAGAGGATCTACGAGTGGGTGATGGGGCAGTGGCACACGTTTCTCCTTCTTTACCCCCCGCCACCGCCCCGCCTACACAAACAAACACACCCACCCACACAAACACAGAGAGAGAGAGAGAGATTATAATCAGTGAATGGACAGAACGCCATGCAGCCTTTCAATCCCTATAGCTGGGCACAATGGTAGAAATTATCCTTGTCGGTTATTTTTTAATCAAAATATCTCCCGATGTGCAGCAATGTGAAGAATCCCCCCCCCCCCCACACACACACCAAAACTTACTCCGCCATTGAAATCGTGTATAAATTGTATGAACATTAATCGCACACATTAACCAATCATATGAAAACAATGGATGAATTAACTGGGAGATACAAATATAAGATCGACTTAAAACTTAACTAATAGCCAAAGTAACGTTCAT